CATGTTTCTGTGATGCCTATTATATCATACCCCCGTAAAAGATACAGTATAAGGTGTTAGAACTCCTCATATTAGTCATAACATATGCTATCTTTTTAGACAAAAAAAGATTTTTTTTTTAGTGTAAAAAAAGGTAGGTGAAGCATCCCAGTGACTCTCAAGAGTTATGTTTGTCCTCAGATGCAGAGATATGAACATGCTCTGCTTGTGCACTTGGCAAACTGGATGCATCCCAGGAGCCATAATACTGCATTAGCGTGGTATTATGGTCTACTGTAACATCAAAGATTATTACGCCAGCGATAGCATTATATTTATATGGCTTCCAGACTTAAAATCACGAAGAAATCTGCCTTAACCTGTTAATATCTGCAGAATAAATCCGCATCATCTGAAAGTACAGGAGCTAAAAGATTCCAGAAGTTTTATAAATAAAATTTTCATAATACAAGATCTCTCCATTTTTTTAATGATCCTTAATCCTTTTACTATTCAGTGTAAAAACAAGTTATTGGGATATGATTTTGAACAACCTTAACCCTGGGCTTTTTTGGAAAGCAATAGGACAGAAAGAACTATAAACGTTGTCACCAAAAAAAGAAAAAAATTATTTGAGATAAACACTGGCAGGGAAATCATGAAAACCTTCAAAATCAAAGCAGAATAGTATAGATGCCACTAAGTAATTTCTACATTCCCTATTAGGAACTTTTTGACAGGCAGAGCTGTGGTCACAAAAATATAAACACATAAAAATACTTTTTTGAAATTTACTTGTTATTTTTTTTTTAATGTGATGTAAGAGGATTAACAAACTTTAAGTAAAAGGATTAACAAGGCATGGGACTGAGACAGGAAGAGATTACCAGAAAGCCCATGTATTGCTTTGTGAAGAAAGTTTTGCAAATATTCCTGAGAAATTTGACAAGCTTCCTGTAAAGTAGAAGTAATTCTCTAGGGATCTGAAAAACCCAAAATACATTCAGCATCTCATTATTAGTCCAGTAGGCTCTAAGTCAATTAAAAATTTCTAAAAGCATGGGTCATTTAACAACAGCTTCATTTTCAGATCAGTTCACAACAAGTTTTTCCGTACTAAACCTATGTAAAATTCTACTCTTCTTTTACCTTTAAAGCTATGATAATCATTAACAAGATTCAATGCACCTGCCACTACAGCTTTTTTCTTGGTTATACTACTGGAGAGATTTCTGACCTTATTTAGACCCTATCTTCAAACACAATTGTAATCTTTCTTTTTTTTTTGTTAATAAATAATCGCACTCTGTTTCACAGCCAGTTCTACTTTTGCTTGCCACTGGAGGTTACATCAGGACACAGACTACTGTAGACACTGGCTCACTCCTACTGCTGGTGCACTTAAAAGCAGTCAAGCTAAGTATATTTAAAAATCCATCCTTCCACAAAGTTTTCCCTAGCAGACTCCAGCAAGAAACTATTACTGTGATATAACAGCCTGTTTTCAGGAGTTATCTATGAATGTAAGTTTTTGTTAATTACGGGAAAACTCTGCCACATTCATTAGTCTGCAGTAACCTGCAAGGTTTAAAACATCTGTAATTGCCTTAATCTGCTAAAGTAATTTAAGGAACTCAACCCATTCTAGGGAAAATTACTGCAACAAAAATCCTTCAGCTCATTCTTTTCTCAGCAGTCCAAAGTTGAATTCTTTCTAGATACTCTTCATGTTCCTCTTTTTACTCTACACAAATTACATGAGTGATACTTGTCTACAATTAAGCTGAAATGGAAACCTGAGAGTCAGAACAGACCTAGGTAACCTACTTAGCAAGAGACTACCAGGGCATAAATGAAGTTATTTAGCCCCCCCGTGGCTGTACTCAGAACTTTAAAGTCATCAGTGAAGTATGCCACATCCCTTCAGGATTACAAAACAAAAGCCAGTGTATTACCTACTGGACTTGCCACTTGACAGTACGTGGTCTATAAAAAAACCCGAGTGTCCTCTAATGACATAAAAAGGCTCTTAAAAAATGAATACCAGCTGAGGAGGTTTGAAATATGCAAAAGCATAATTGCTGGCTCTGATAATTAGCCACTGACACCTTTTCCTTTTTTTTTTAATGAGTTCACAGGCATTTAGTTACAATAGATCAAACTTATCTGTTTGAAGAAACACTACTTTTCTGTAAGATTTAAAATCTCTTAAGCACAGAGTTGATGTTAAAACTATCAAAAAGCTGTGGGTTAGAGGCAGAGGACATTTCAGAAAATCAGAACAGTATTTCTCCAAGGTAATTAGCCAACCTAGAGATCAGGTAAAGGGTTCTTTTGTATCAGTGAAAACAAAAAGGGATGTGGAATCTATCTGCATTCTTCCAACTGCACTTCAGAAAAACTTGAGAGTAAGTACTCAGGTGTTCTCTGGAAGATTTTGTAACTGACATTGAGAAACTAGCCAGGCATTTAAGCAAGTCAGATTCTGATGAGAATAAAACAGAGAACAAACTGTAATTTGCTGGAACTATTACCTTACTTGGCAGAATGATATATTTTTAAAAGACTGATCGCAAACCTAAAATTGTCTTCAGATTTGTCAACTGTGACATCAACACCTCAAAAAAAAAAAAAAAAAAAAAGAAAGAGCAGTAACATCATAACATCCAACCAGCTTCTCAAGTGCCAATCACTGAAATCACTGTTTGGGAAGGAGGAGGGCAAACCAGAAACTGCTGTTGTCAGCCATCATGTAGTTGTCCTATCTCACCTTTGATTGGATCAACCCTCCTCAAATAGGGCAATCCAGGATTACTAAGGGGCTTACTGAAGAAAAAAAAACCAACCAACAAACACTGACTATATAGACAAGGTATTTTAAGAATGTTACATACACTGGAAAAAGTAAGTTCACAAAACAGAAGAAAACACACTGCACATACCAGAATTTACAGAATATTTATAAAATACTATGTCTGGTTATGTTATATTTTACAATACCTTTACTTGTTCCTTTATTATTACAAAGTTCACCACAATAATTTGCTTACACTGATAAGGGCAAGTTTGATTTTTCTGCATACACTCCAGCCTTAGTGCCTCCTACTACCTTTTTTCTCTTTGCAACTGCCTGATATTTAGCCAACAGAACACATTAAAGATGTATCTATCCATGAATTTGCCGTTTTCTTACACAGCAGTCACACATTTCCAAAGAGTTAGCTCTTGACATCTTCATAACCATATTAACTGAAGCTAAATTATATTTTTCAGTGGTTGCGATTCAGTTAGCAAAAACTTGGGCTATATTTTCAATCTATTAAAAGTCTATGTACACCTACCACATCTATAAAATACCAAGTCCCAAGAACCTCAATATTTCTTGGTATTTTTTTAATAAAACTTAAGAAATGCTTTTCTTCCCTCTTGGATACACATATTTATTCAATTTCAAGATAATTCTTCCATTCTTTGCCTTAGGAATTTCAATTTTAAAAGCCCCAGCCACGCTGCAGTAACAGTGCATGCTTTCATCCATGGTTAAAATAACACAGTTTATGACGGGATGATGAGCCTCAAATTAATTTGCGACTATTTTAAGTAATCTGCCTTTTTCCCTGCGGCAGCTCCTGGCAAGAAAAATAAAGAATTACTTAAAAAAAATATTATTCTGGTGTTAATACGTAAGACTTTGAACAAAATTAAACGTCTCGAGAGATTCTTTGGCATCGAAACAGGAAGACGAAAATGGTTCAGCTACCTCCTGGTCTTGCATGGGGTTATGCATCTACCTTTGTCATCCACCTAACTGCTGTTTTAAAACATGTACTTCATAGTCACAAAAACTCATTTGAGAAAATATTAGTAAACGCAACTGATGACACCACACAGAAGTGATTATACGCGCTTTCCTAAGCACACCTGGAGAGAGAACTTGGATGACCCAAGTCACTAGAAAATAAGAGCTTGATAGCAAAACCAACTATAAAAAAGGGGGGGGGGGGGGGAAATCAGCTTCATTCATTCATTAATTCTTGCCAGGGCTTGAAAAAATGGAAGAAGGATGAGAATAGAAAAGTGATGTGATAATTCTTCCTCAAGAAGGCCACAGGCAACAGGAGAAGCAATTCTGAAATATTTATATCTACTTATAAAACCTAGAGCTGTGGCTTACTCCAAGCAGTTTACAGTATTCCTATGACAGCTGCTGTTACCATTCTCTCCTCTGGAACGACGGTTCGTAATTTTGATTGCTTTTTAAACATAGTGGTCCTCAATTCAGACAGACGCTACAGATCTGTGTGTGCTACCCAACAACTCCCTCTGCCTGTAGGCCGGCAGCTTCTGTGTCTACTTGGACCCCTGCGACCAGCTACCTGCCTGCCAGCCTCCCATGTCTCCAAACGCTGCCTTACGCCTCATAGCTCAAACGCCTTCGGATGCATCAATAAACCACACTTCCTCGCTGAACCATAAACGCAAGGCTCTCAACTATGGTCGCGGGCAGGGGTTATTTCCTTCCTCGTCTATGCCCCCTTCACCCTGACCTACGGGTTCAGGTCAGTGGATCCGCTGGCTAAGCCTCTGGATCAAACCCGAAGACAGAGACCCGGGAGAAGAGCTCACACGAGGCGCCGGTGGAGGGGCCGGCCGGCGGGCCGGGCTAGAACCGCCGCACCTCCACACACTCGCTCCGCGTCTGGAGTGAGGGCGGAGACGCAGAGACAGCCTCGCTCCCCACACACACCTCCTGAAGAAGAGGGCGGCCACGGCTACTAAAGCGCCCGCCGAGACCGGGCGGAGGCGGGCCTCCTTCTGCCTCTCACCCTCCCTCCCGCCGCCGGTCCACAGCGCCCGCCACAGGCCGCCGCTGCCCGCACAAGCAACGGCCCCGCGAACAGGAGCCGGCCGAGCCGAACCGAACCGCACCGCGCGGCGGCTGATGCTAGCCAGCAGAGGGAGCCGGCCCGCAGCCCCAATCGCGGTCCCCGGCGTAGGGCGGGCCTGCCCGCCGCGCTCACCCGGCACGGGCCATCCTGGAAGACGCGCGGGTCCAGGTTGCAGGCGATGGTGGCGGTGGGCAGGTCCTGCAGCGCCACCTCCTCCATCTCGCCGTCAATGAAGCTCCAGTCCGCCTGGGCCTCGCGGGGGGGCCGCAGCAGCAGCGCCGCCGCCTCTTCGTCGTCCTCCTCTTCCTCCCCGGCTTCCCCGGCCGACGGCAGCGGCGGCTGGCGCAGAGGCTCCGGCTCCTCCTGCCCCGCCGGGCCCCTCCCGCCGCCGCCGCTCTCCATGGCCGGGGGCGAGCGGAGCCCCCGCGAGGCGGAGCCTGGCGGCCGCCGGCACCACCAGCGCCTCGTAGCGACGGCTTGTGTCCCGCTGCCTCGCCGCGCCTTGGAGCGCGCACAAAACTTACAGCCCCCCGCCCGCGCCCCTTTCGTTTCACTTAACCCCCGCGCCCGTTCAACCGGCGCCTTCGTGACACACACACACGTCCAGTCCCGTCCCGTGCCGTCCCCCGCCCGCAGAGCGCACGGCACCGTGTGAGCCAATAGGAAGCTGCTGCCACCGCAGCAACAGGTGGCCTGTCCCAGCTAGACGCTGCTTCCGCCATCTTGAGTGAGGGCAGCGGTCAGCTTGCCCATGTGTGAGGGAGCTGAGCCTGAGCGCAAGCCTGTGAACGCGGCCGCATAGCCTGGGGCAGTGGCAGCGGCAGCCACCCAGGGGCACGGTGACTGTGCAAGGCCTGCTGCAGTCACACAGCTGTGTTTTGCATCACGGCTGGAGCACAGAACAACACGTCTTGATAAGGAGTATTTTGCAATAAGCAGATGAATTAAAAACCCTTACTCAAACACTTGTAGATCAGTCAAATGCCACCATTATGTACACCTTGGTTCTCTTACCTGCCCTAAGGACAGGACAAACAACCCTTCATGTTCTGTAAACAACTGGCTGAACAGACAACAAAGGGAAGCTGAGAAGAAAGAAAATATAGAGGTAGCAGTGGACAGCTGCATCTCCTCTTGCTGGTGATTGATGCAGCTGATCTTCACCCTTTCTTTGGACTTTTTTCAGAAGTATCCTGTTGCTGGCCAAGACCAAAAGTGTTGTGACTTAAGACTTGTAAAAGATGCCACATAATGCCATGTCTGTGTCCTTTCCTTCTTACTTTTGGCATGAAGGAGGCGTTTTCTGACAACCTTTCTTTTTCTGTAACCTTTCAGTAAGGCCGTGAAGGATAAATGAACTTTTTCTGGCTACACTCAAGGAGCTGCTTGTGTCAGACATTCCTACACAGAAGAATAGTGTACTTAATGTGCTTAGCTGGTTAGTCTGACCTAACTAACCTAGACGCTTTCCTTACATACTAATACATAGTGTCACTTTCCATGGGAAGGCCCAAAAGTGAGCTTGAGAGGTCACAGTTTTTGAAACATCCACATATCTACCTGAAACATCCTATACTAGTACAAGGATAACACAGAGTAGTAGAAGGCAGTAAGGAGTGAGAGGATGCTGGGCAGTAGTAGTTGGCAAAGTACTAACCATCCTTTCTTATGTGCCACTGGAGGGCTACATAAGAATGAATGAGGACTGAAAGGTGGAAAGAACCATCTATTTGATACCAGAAACATAGGTGCTAGCAAAATGTACTTGAGTTGCTGTAAAGAACTGGTAGCAGAATACAGGAGCTCCTTCTTATCATGAGAAAGCCTGAGGTGCTAATCCTATTCTCATTTCCAGTTACAAGAAAATTCCCAGAGACAAGAATGCAGGGACAGTTGGCATTTATATTATAGCTGAGAGTCCCACAGCTTACTTAGAAAGCAACATTTCATCACAGAATGATCTTGTCATCAGGTGCCATCTATCCAGATACTGAAAAAAATTCTTCCATCTCATAATGTCTGGTATTCTCAGTGTTCATTTTTTTAACTGTCGTGTTTGTAGATAACACATGTTAGTGTGTACTTGGAAAACATTACTGTGTCAAATACAAGCTTGGATTTTGTAAACAGTCTATAAACATACTGATGCAGGCTGTGGCAGGTCATTTATTCTGATACAGTGAATATTTTCAATAGTGTTTGAAGTAAAATACTCTTACAGGTATTTTCTTCCAAAATACGGCAACATGAAAAACTGAGCCAGGTGGAAAACTAATTTTTAACAGGTTTTAATGCTGTAACACCTACTGGTTTTTGCAGTGTGCAAAGTTTACAGCAGAGGCAACAGCCTCACTCCTTGACATACAACTGTTATCCTATCTTCACTTAAGCACTGCTGACCTTTTTTTTTTTCCAACAGATCAAAGACTTTGAACTGATGGATTACTTGTCTTAGTCAATTTTAATGAGATCTTGCAGGATACAACAAGAAGAAAAATACCATGTGAACAGATAATAGTTTACCTACTCCCTCCTGTTAGAAGTTTCTTCAGCCTCTCTAATCATTTAAGCCTTTTTCAGAGAGATAAGCTGTCATCTTAGGTACAGGATATTTTCATGATCAGTTGTGCTAAGTGACATTAAGTCAGTATGTTCTCACACCAGTTTTCACAAAAATCAGACAAATGCTATCTTCAAAGAAACGTCACATATATAAGCAAGCTGCAACTTTCTACAGCTAAATTCAATCGTAGACTTCAGAAGAAAAATTAAACCTTAATCTCCCTCATCTTAGGTTTTAATGACTGATTCAGCCTTTCTTTTTTTGTTACGTATGAAGGTAATTTAAGGTAAACTTTTGACTGGGGAAGTTGGTAAACCAAGACAAAAATAGATCTTCACCCCGATGTTCAACTCTGTAGACAGAATATATCTTTTAATGGAAGTGACGATGTTTAACGATAATGATTTATTTACACGCAGGGGAAAAAGATTCCTCGGGTAAATCGCTTAAGGCACACTAGACAGCGTCACTCAAATGTTTTAAACACACACTACCATCTAGTGGTAGAAAGAAAAGCACGAAGAATCTCGAGAGGGCTACTTTTGCTCCATTTGCAACAAAAATCCTCACTTCTCAAGTCAAAAGTACCTAACCACAATGGGGGACAAACAAAAAATCAACCACCACGAACCAACCCTATACAGAATTTGATTATAACTAAATGGAAAACGTTTGGAGAATGACTGAACATGCGTCCCTATGGGCAACTTTCCATCCTGAACGCTCATTTAAACCACTGGCTTATTTAATATTCCTCAGAATAGGTTTTCATTGTACATAAGCAGATATAATTAGCAGTTTAAACACATGGCATTGGCATCAGTGACCTTCAGAAGACCTGGAGGGATTTTCCTGCATAGAAGCCTATTTGCAAAACTACTGCAATCATTCCTTGGCTGTAGACTTTAATAAAGGATATGCATAGCTAAAATGCATATATGAACATTGAAGATTAATTGTGGCTATCAATAGCATAGTTTTCTTTTCGTTAAAGTAAATTTTATTTAATTACTCCCATATCCTGCACGTACAAAAGCATGTGTGCTCAGTTGCTTCCTTACATTAACATTGAAATATTTGTACTATCAGTTATTTGCATATATATGTAATAGAAAATCTTGATGTCTTAAACTTTAACCAAATAACCACCTAAATTTACAACAAAAAATGCCCAACGTCCAACACATTCACAGCCATCCAAGCACAAAGCAACCCAACCATCCTATTGAATATAAAAGATGGTCAAAGAAATAACTTGATCTATGCCCATGCTTTTGCCACGGTCAAGCGGTGTATGATACAGTATTTTAGATAATTATTTCTCTTGGTAGATCATACAAACTTCATAAAAGCTTGACTGGTTCAACAGCACTGGCTTGTGGGGATCTTCTTCATTAACAAGGTTTGAAGCTGGAGTTCTCAAAATCCCATGCAGAAGTGTACCAGTAACTTTTTAATCTATTTCTTTTGTTGGAGGGAAAATGCCTATCCCTGATGCCTTCTCAGAGCCAGAAGGACCTTTCTGCGCAGTAATGACTCCTTCACAGGCTGCCCAAAGAGCTTTGCCTGCTACATTTCCTGCTGCCACCCTGAATGCCTTGTTTTCTAGGAAGTTCTGCTGAAAATCCTACTCTGTAAAGACTTCATTTTACCTCTTTCAGGTGCATATTACCTGCCAAGGAGCCCCTCTGGGTTAATTTCTCACGGATATATTTGTTCTCCTTCAAGCATCCTCACATAGACATCGAATTCTGACTCTCTTTAAAGCAAGCCAGTCATATTGAAGTGAATATCTAAAGTACACAAAATATCACTACATTTACTTTAAACTCAGTTTGAGCAAAGCACATGCCCCAAAATAAAATAGACATAAAGGAAAACCCCAGACCTATTTAACTGTTTGTTCTGATGTTGAATGTTTTCTTTATGTTTTCTTTCTAGCTATGAAAGTTATAGTTTATTTCTACCTTAAATTTGTCTGGTTTTCACTGATAGCCATTTGTTCTTGTTATGTTTTCCTCCATTGTAATAAAAAGTCTCCCAGGGCTTGATCCTTCACAGTGGAATCCCTCCTCACTATTCTTTTTGCTCAGCTAAGCAGATCCAGTCCTGCGTTTTTCCATTTAGAGCTGCTGAAAGTGGTTTCACAACTGATCCATACTTCTCCCCATCATGTTCCCTTTCCTTCTCTTGACTTAATCCAGATATCCCAAGGAATTCTTTTTTCAGAGTAACATTATCCTTGCCCTCTGAGGGTCTGGATGCCATCCATTGTTGTTTGCTAAGCTCCTGCAACACCTCTGCAGCACCATGGTTCTTCCCTGCCTTTCCTCCTGCTTGCTTACCTCAGCCTCTGTCCACCACAGTGATCAAAGTAACCAGGTGTCCTGAGTGCACTTACTCTAGCTTGATAGCCTTTCCCAAGCTTTACCAATGCAAACATACATCTTAAAAGGCCCTTACCACAGGTTTAATTTTTTGTGTTTGCTTAGAAAAAATGTGTACAGATCACTTTTATATACTTTTTTTGGTCTTTGTAGACAACAACATTCAAGGAATTGCTACAGCCTGTATCGCATCAAGTATCTACATTAGGTATTTCCAGCTATATTGACTGAAAATATCCCATGACTGGCTCTCATAGTAAAATGTCTTCAACAGCACAACCTAAAGGGTTATTTTAGATAGCAGTTCAGGGCACTGCATTTGACAGTAGAATAAACCATCCTTTTTTTTTAACTTCTTGAACTTGTGCAGACTGATCCTCTTTCTCAAAACCAGAGTAGTAAGAATGAGAAATCAGAGTGATAGCCTCTCTGTCCCATACTGTGTACTTGTGCTTTTGTAGAAGGGCCTACCACCCACAGGAGAGGCAGGATTAGCTGGAGTGTTTTTCAGAAGCACTCCTAATATTTGGAAGAGTATAAGCAGAGAAAAAACATACAAATAAAATGCTGTTAA